AAGCCATCTGGCCTGCAGAGCAGCCAGCCCGCAGCACCAGCACCCACCCCCGTCAGATAGCTGACCCGTGCAGCCTGGCCGGGCTAGATCAGCGCCCACGCACTAACCGTCAGGAACCAGCTCGGGAGAGAACGAACACCCAACACCAGTCAAGCCTCTATGGTGTGCACTTTTATTTGAACTGGTCTTAAGTCAGTGTACAGGTAGCCCCTCCCTCCCCCACGTACTGGCACCACTTCTCTGAGACCCTGCACGGGGACTGTAAAGCCTTCATTCACGTCTACCACTGGGGAACACAGCCCGCTTGCTTGACAAATCGAAGAGAAAAAAAGGATCAAGTGTGTTTTGTTTTTAAGGCGGAAAGATACAAAAAGACACTTGTTGGGTTACATAATTTACAGACAAGCAATTATAACCTAACACCAGTAACTGGCATCGGCTCCCTCCGAGCTGGGCTGCTGCCTTCACAGAGGCGAGTAACTTCCTGTAACAATGCATTATAACAATATTTGGAATGACTATTAAAAAAAGAAACAAATGTACAATCAAAGTCCTCAGATGCATTGTAGAACTTTGGGGGCGTTCGCTCCAACATGTTTCGTTTTAAGACTGCTGCTGACACCTTCACCGTTCCAGTTTTTTAATCCTGAGTCAAGCGCCAAAAAAAAAAAAACCAAAAACAAATAAAGCCATGCCAATCTCATCTTGTTTTATGCGCATTTATGGGTTTCATTTCATCACAAGGGTGTGGGTGTTGGTAACAGTCCGGTTTAGAAGCATTTGCGGTGGACGATGGAGGGTCCGGATTCATCGTACTCCTGCTTGCTGATCCACATCTGCTGGAAGGTGGACAGGGAGGCCAGGATGGAGCCTCCGATCCAGACAGAGTACTTGCGCTCAGGTGGGGCGATGATCTGCAGGGAAGAGGAGGAACAGGTCAGACGCAGTGTCCTACCACGCACCCGCTGCCCACACATGGCCCCGCAAGACGGAGCGGCCCAGTTCCCTTATCTAGCCTTGGCCAAGATACCATGGAGTCTAAACAAGCTTAAGACACAACCTCACACTCCCACCTCCCTCCTCCTCGCTTTGTAGCCGGTATTTACACTAACTAATCCCATTATTCATACGGTTAGGTGGATGCCAACTTATCCAGGGCAAGGCCATTAAAGCCCACACCAGACCAAAATATGGTTTCTATCTCATCTAGTAGGAATTCAGCCTACCCCCCTTCCACCCACTCTGCGTTTCTGCATTAACAGGGGTACTGAGAGGTTCCTCCGACTCCATCCTACCTTGATTTTCATTGTGCTGGGTGCCAGGGCTGTGATCTCCTTCTGCATCCTGTCAGCGATGCCAGGGTACATTGTGGTACCACCAGACAGCACTGTGTTGGCATACAGATCCTTACGGATATCCACATCACACTTCATGATGGAGTTGAAGGTAGTTTCATGGATACCACAGGACTCCATACCTGTGAGAAAGAAGCAGTTTCAAGTCAGCGAGGGCTCAGACACAGCCAAGGAAGACCGAGGTGCTCCTCTGAGCATGAGGCCAGCAGCCCTTCAGTGGGAAGGCACTATAAAGTCAAGGGTCCAACAGGCTCAACCTCCTGTTCTGCTGTCCCAAGTCCCTCCAACAGAGCTTCAGGCTGTGTGGAAAGTGAGGCTGAGAGGTGGGACAGCACACACCTTGCTATGGACCGGCAGTAACATGCTAACTGGCTGCCATGGTCTCCAGGTTCACTCTTTACAGAAAGGGTACACTAAGGGGCACGAGGTATCCTAGAAGAGCTGGACTCACCCAAGAAAGATGGCTGGAAGAGGGCCTCGGGGCACCTGAACCTCTCATTGCCGATGGTGATGACCTGACCATCAGGGAGTTCATAGCTCTTCTCCAAGGAAGAGCTAGAGGCAGCTGTGGCCATCTCCTGCTCAAAATCCAGGGCGACATAGCACAGCTTCTCCTTGATGTCACGCACAATTTCCCTCTCAGCTGTGGTGGTGAAGCTGTAGCCTCTCTCTGTCAGGATCTTCATGAGGTAGTCCGTCAGGTCATGGCCAGCCAGAGCCAGACGGAGGATGGCATGGGGAAGGGCATAACCTTCGTAGATGGGCACAGTGTGGGTAACACCATCACCAGAGTCCATCACAATACCAGTGGTACGACCAGAGGCATACAGGGACAACACAGCCTGGATGGCTACATACATGGCTGGTGTGTTGAAGGTCTCAAACATGATCTAGGGAGAGAAAAGGAGTGGTTGAGTCAGCAGCACAAACCAGGGTTCTCACTACATGTCTGTGACACATCCATGCAAGCGACTTTACTTTTTTCCCTAGATAAGGGACTTCACTTTCCCCTGAAGTCCATGCTTATCTCGCCTGGGCTCCGCCCACACCTGCCAGGACAGGGCCTGAGCAGGGACACAACAGACCCATCCATATGTCACAGCAAGGAACAAACAGCAAGTAAACTACAGTACAGTCACTCAAGGCTGGTAAATGGATTAGTGTGTCTAGTCAGAAACAGCAGTTAGACAAGTTGCTAGTTCAGTCTCGGAGAAAGCCAGCTTAGAAAAGCACACAAAACCTGTCAAGGTCCAGCAAAGAGGAGACTCAGGTCAGGAAAGGAAAACCCTGTAAAGATGGCAAAAAGGGAGAATAGTGGTGAAGGAGGAGAGGACAACATGGAAAAGGAGAGATTGCCTGCAGCAACATCTGCTGTAGCTCCGAGCTCCAAAGTTTTACACACCTGTGTCATCTTCTCTCTGTTGGCTTTGGGGTTCAGGGGAGCCTCTGTGAGCAGCACAGGGTGCTCCTCAGGGGCTACTCTCAGCTCGTTGTAGAAAGTGTGGTGCCAGATCTTCTCCATGTCATCCCAGTTGGTGACAATACCGTGTTCAATGGGATACTTCAGGGTCAGGATACCTCTTTTGCTCTGGGCTTCATCACCAACGTAGCTGTCTTTCTGGCCCATACCAACCATCACACCCTGCACAACAGAAAATAAGTAGTAAGGACACCTGAAGGGGCAGGTTATCTACCCGGTGGGGCTGCTTTTCCCAAAGCTGGGTCTTCATTACTATCCCCACTCTGTCAAGAAAGGGATTCAGCCAACTGCTCCAACTCAACACTGCACAAAAGCTCTGTAGGAGGCTGTACTCCCCGCTAACTGTGTTGCAGCCAGAAGCCTCTGGCGTTATAAAACCAAATGAAAGGGCTTCTTGAAGGTCAATGCCTCCAGGGGAACTGCTTCCACCAAAAACTCCTCTTGTCTGGTAACAGGCTGCCTACCTGATGTCTGGGGCGACCCACGATGGATGGGAAGACAGCACGGGGGGCATCATCCCCGGCAAAACCGGCCTTGCACATACCGGAACCATTGTCAACGACGAGCGCAGCAATATCATCATCCATGGCTGGCTGCGGAAGGAAAGAGAGAAGGAGACGTGAGCATCATCACCGCTCGGGTACCAACCACCGGGTCCCTGCGGGGAAGGCGATACCGGCCCAGGCCCTTCCCCACCCATTTCCTTCCTGCCGGCTCGGCACCGCTTCTCCCGGCGCCCACTAGAGGGTGCGACGCCTTCCCGAGCTCGGCACGGATTTGGGACAAAGGAAGTCCCTGCGCCCTCTCGCATTATGACCATAAAAGGCAATGGATGGAGC